CTGCATTCCGGTCCAGTGCGATCTGCAAAAATAGTGCTTGCAGAATTTTTGCGGATCACACTGGACTGGAACACAGGCACTAATGCAGGCGATCGCACTGTGGGCGAGGGGCCTGCCTGCGGAGCCTGGCTGCGGTGCCATTGACTTCAATGCACCGCCACCCCCCCTCCCGCCCCTGAATGCAGGTGTTTTTCGTTGGTAGATCTCAATGAGCTCGTCATTTGAAAAGTAGATCTCCAGACGAAAAGGCAAACTCCAGCTCATCGCTAGTAGACTGGAATAGCATAAGGCCCGGTCTGGGTCCCAGTGGGAAAACTAGGACCCAATCTGTGAAGGTATAATAGACCCACTGTGTAGCTACTCTTGGGTGAAGCATATGTTCTACCCTGAGCAGGGCACCGCCGGACTAGCTGGACGTTACTGGCAATAAGAAATCACCAATGGTGGTCAAAGGATCTGAACTTGGCCAGCCATGGAAAATGGAATGATGTTTGCCTATTGACTGTATAATGCAACTTCCCTCCCACGCTGTACTCCCTGACTCCACCCATCTACACACCCATGCCTTCCTACTAGAGCAAGAGGCATGGCCTAATCCTAGAAGGCCATACAAGCATTGTCCCCCTAGGACAGGAAGTATGTTTTCTGGCGGATCACCAGATGACAATAAAAAGGAAAAAGTCTAAAAAGAAAACGAATGCAGCCGCCACATCTGAGGACTGGAAAGCTGTGTCATAATAAATGCATGTGTTTAAGGTTTTTGGGTTTAGTTACATTTTAACTAAATGACAGTCTGGGTTACATCTGTATTCTATTTGGCTGCTATGGGCAACAAAAACAGTTCCATCATCATAAACGAGGTTGGCAGTGAACTGAAGGCTTTGGTTTTTATTAGGTGCCGGGAGTCTTCAAAACCATAAAGTTGGAAATTCTGAGAATTTTGGGAAGTTCAGATGACTAATTATCATTAATCATGACTTAGCCCAGAGCCCAGATCTCAGATCCATCTGTGATCAGCGAATGTTATTCACACTGTGGCTGAGAGACGTGGCGTGATGATTCAGTGAAGTCTCAGATTCCTGATATCTGACATCAGAGGGGCTGAGAATAGGGGAACATCCATCAATTACAGAATAAATCCAGGCAGACACGTACAACACCCTTCAGTTCTCTTATCTGTGCCTTAAAAACTCTTCAAAATCTCTTCAACTTGGGAATGTTTATGAGGCAGCAGAGCATTGGGGGAGTCGGCAGAACTGCAATCTCTGAAAAGTGTTGTCACTCTACTTTGGCTAAGCAACAATTAAGCCGGCGGTGACAACACATAAGGAAAGCTGGAGGGAATATTGGTTTGTTTGAGAGGTCCGGTGCTGCAAAACTACATGGGGCTCAGCAACCTGCAAAGTCAAACGCAACCTTGCAACCCTGCCAAAGCATCGCCACGATCCCCCAGCAGATCGGTGATTTTGGCATGATAAATCCTGCCGTGAAATTGTTCAGCTTTGCTTTCAAATACATTTTTAGCCAAGTTGGTCATACATTTCTCCATATTTTCTCTTTAAATATGGAAATTTAAATTAATTAACCTAGTGCTTGTGACTTGTGATTTTTTTTATGTGGAGTTCTCCTCTAATGCAGAAGGTCATTCTGATCAGTCAATCTATGGACTAGTTAGGTCAGTGTTGGACAGATTGTGGTGGGATACTATGACCTGTGATCTTTTTATGTAGAGTTGTCCTTCAACTCAGAAGACCATTATGATTGGCCAATCTCTAAACAAGTTAGCTCAGCATGGGCAGATTGTGGTGGGATGCTATTACCTGTATTCTATTTTACCATAAATTGTCCTTTAACACAGAAGGCCGTTCTGATCAGTCAATCTATGGACAAGTTAGGTCCGTGTTGGACAGAATGTGGTGGGATTCTATGACCTGAAATCTTTTTATGTGGCATTCTCCTTTAGCACAGAAGACTATTCTGATCAGTCAATCTTTGGACAAGTTAGGTCAGTGTTGGGCAGACTGTGGCGGGATGCTTTGACTTGTAATCTTTTTTTTAGGAGTTATCCTTAAACACAGGAGGCCATTTTGACTGACTGGTCCATCTCTGAACAAGTTATCCTGGTGTTGGGCAGATTGTGGTGGGATGCTTTGACCTGTAATCATTTTATGTAGAGTTGTCCTTCAACACAGAAGGCCATTGTGATTGGCCAATCTCTGAACAAGTTAGCTAAGCATGGGAAGACTGTGGTGGGATGCTATTACCTGTATTCTATTTTGCCATGAGTTGTCCTTTATCACAGAAGGCCATTCTGATCAGCCAATCTCTGGACAAGTTATCTCAGTGTTGGGCAGACTGTGGTGGGATGCTATGACCTGTAACCTTTTTATGTGGAGTTGTCCTTTATCACAGAAGACCATTGTGATCAGTCAATCTATGGACCAGTTATCTCAGTGTTAGGCAGACTGTGGTGGGATGCTATAACTTGTAATCTTTTTTGTTAGGAGTCATCCTTTATCACAGGAGGCCATTGTGATTGACCAATCTGGGAAAGTTAGCTCAGCACTGGGCAGACTGTGGTGGGATGATATGTAATACCTGTAATCTTTTATGTTTTATTTAGGTTCTATGAGAAGGCGAGGCATTACCATGGGAAGACTCGTGCTCCGGTGTCAGACCCCGTTGTCGCCTACACCTTGCTGAAGCGGCTTCAGTCCGAGTGGATGAATGTCGTGGGCAGTCTGGAAGCTGGAGACAACATCAAAGGTAAGGAATGGACGAAAGCCATCTTGTAGGGGTTGGAGGATTTGGTTCTGTTCTCATAAATTTCATGAGGGTGAATTCTTCTATGGGGTCAAGAGAAAGGACTAGATAAGTAAGAGGCAGCACTAATAGTTTTTCTAAATTTAAAAGGTACACTCCACACATTCAAAGCACCCAATGTAAAAAGTCTGTACTATGAGAACATCAGGGCCACCAATCGGAATGAAAACCTGGAAATGAGAGACTATCTCTTAAAGATGAGTATAAATTCCATTTTAGACAGTTGTAAATGAAAGAGGTCTCCCCAATGGAAGATTTCCCCTCTATTCCTATTCTGGTGATAACTGTAAAATGTTAGGTTTCCCATTATTTTCTGTCCCAGTGGCCATTGTCATAGAGGGGGTGAATCTCCCCATTGTGGAGACATAAAACCAGAAAAACAGGGGTCTATCCCTTCCACACTTTATACCAAACATAAGAATAAAATGTTTTGGCTTTGGATATAATCTTTTGACAAGATTATGTTTAATGGTTTCTTACTATTCCCATCATGCATTGCAATCACATTTGAAGTAGAAATCCTGCATTCAGTCAGAGAGATAGCATGTTCGCATAATTTCTTTGACCTGATAGTGGCTGTAGCTACCAAGAATACCTGCATCCCTACAGACGCTAGTTACTACCACCATGAAATACACACAGCGCCATCAATCTTCTGTGGGCAAGGAAGGCTGGACGGCTCCACAGTACAGTGCTTGTAGAGAGGTACACATCCTGTGCTACCATACCACCATTAATGCTCTGCTGGAAGGTTCCATAGTACAATGCTTGGACAGAGGGGCACATCCCGTACTACTGCACTAGCATCAATGCTCTGTGGGCAATAAAGGATTGACGGTTCCCTAATAGAATGCTTGGAAAGAGGGCCACATCCCATACAATTATACCACCATTAATCTTCTGAGGGCAAGGAATGCTGGATGGTTCCATAGATCAATGCATTAAGACAGAGGGGCACATCCTGTACCACTGTACTACTGTACCATGATCAATCTTCTGTGGACAAGGAAAGCTGGACAGTTCCATAGAACAATGCTTGGAGAGAGGGACACATCTCGTACTACTGTACCGTCATCAATCTTCTATGGGCAAGGAAGACTGGAAGGTCCCATAGTACAATGCAAGTCAGAGGGGCACATCCTCTACTACTGTACCATGGTCAATCTTCTGTGGGCATAGAAGGCTGGACGGTCCCATAGTACAATGCATTAAGACAGAGGGGCACATCCTGTACTACTGTACCATGATCAATCTTCTGTGGGCATGTAAGGCTGGACGGTTCCATAGAACAATGCTTGAAGAGAGGGACACATCCCGTACTACTGTACCGCCATCAATCTTCTATGGGCAAGGAAGGCTGGATGGTTTCATAATACAATGCATTAAGACAGAGGAGCACATCCTGTACTACTGTACCACGATCAATCTTCTGTGGGCAAGGAAGGCTGGACGGTTCCATAGAACAATGCTTGGAAAGAGTTACACATTCCGTACTACTGTACTGTCATCCATCTTCTATGGGGAAGGAAGGTTGGATGGTTCCATAGTACAATGTTTGGAGAGAGAGAATGGTTCCATAGTACAATGTTTGGAGAGAGGGACACATCCCATACTACCATACCACCAGCAGTCTTCTTCGGGCAAGGAAGGCAGGACAGTTCCGTAGTACAATGCATTAAGACAGAAGGGCGCATACTGCACTACCATTCCACCATCAATCCTCTGTAGGCAATAAAGGCTTGATGGTTTCATAGTACAATGTTTGGAGAGAAGGACATGTCCCATACTACCATACCACCATCAATTCTCTGCGGACATGGAAGGCTGGACGTTTCCATATTTCAATGCTTGGAGAGAAGGGCCCGTCCCATACTACCATACCACCATCAATTCTCTGCGGGCAATAAAGGCTGGACAGTTCCGTAGAACAATACTTGGAGAAAGGAGCACAGTCCAGGTCTTATTGTGCCCAATACCATTTCTTTTCTTGGCTTTGTATAGTAGCTTGGTTATAGGGAGTGGTATACATTTTTGATACATGGGGAGTGTTGGTATTAGCATTTTCTAAGGGTTTTTTTTCTATATTTTTTTGTACTTTTGCCTTATGCATGGAGAGCAGCTGTAACCCAGCCCATTATATGTCTGTGAAGACCTGGGATGAACCCACGAATTATCCAATAAAGCTAATGACAGGTTATTATGTGTCCGGGTGTCAGATATAATGTGTGGCTGCACTGAAGATGGTGTCATCTGTCAGAGCTGACTGAGGTCTCTGTTACATGGGGGACGCGCCGTGATTTGCAGGTTGTAATGACCGCCTGGGGACACAGCAGGAACCGGTCGTAACTCAATACCAGCACTGACCTGAAGCAAAGTTTAGACATTCCACCCAACTCATACTACTACTAAAGTGTATGTCTGAGCAAAAATAAAAAAATAACATATTTAGTAGATCTCTGCAATACATGCACATGTTCCCGTGTTTTGCCTCTATAAAGTATATCTGTGGTCAAAAACTACAAATAAATCTGTATTTCTATAATTTCCATAAATTCTATCCCGCTCTTAACCAGATCCATCTGGAAGTATGTAAACGTACTTATTGTTGATGTCCATAGGATGGACTTCCTTAATGCACTGGCACCATTTAACTCAGCCCTGTGAATATGAACTTCCTGGTGTCACTGAACTGAGCTGTGATTCCCCAGCCACGGAGGCCAGGAAGGAAGCTGCTCAAACACCATCTGCATGACTCAAAATCTGGACAATGTAACGTTAGCATTGCTTTGCTGGCAGCAATGCATGATGGGATATGTAGTCTTGAGAAATGATGAGATTGCATGGAAAGAGACACAAAGCACACTGGGAATCCAGGAAGTTGTTGGAAGTGATGGGCAGACAGAAGGCAGCACACACTACATTTTCTAGTAAGCTTTGATTGCATTACCAACAACAACTCTAGTACAGAGGGGAAAATAATTATTTGATCCCGTGGAGATTTTGTAAGTTTGCCCACTTACAAAGAAATTAAAGGTCTATAATTTTTTATCATAGGTGTATTTTAAATGATAGAGACAGAATATCAACCAAGTTGAGTTGCAGTTCAGTGAGTAAAATAAGTATTTGATCCCCTACCAACCAACAATAATTCTGGCTCCTCCCACAGACTGGCTATGTGGTACACAGATTAGTCCTGTCAATTTAAGAAGGTGATCCTAATGACTTTGTAAGTCGAGGTTAACTAGAGTTCATGTGCAACATTTAATTTTGTCGGTCAAGATTATCTAGAGTTCATGTAGAGCATTTTACCTTGTCGGTCGGGGTTAAGTAGAGTTTACGTAGAACCCCTAGGTCCAATGGGTTGAGGTAACAAGTGTTCAGAGACAAAGTCTAAAGCTGGCCATAGACCTTACAACCATCGTAAGACTTTTGTCTTGCGATGGTTGTAAGGTAATTTAAAAAAACGTACAATCTGCCCATCTTGGACAGGCAGATCGTACTTGCGATCATCGCAAGCCCTCCCCCCTGAGGGGCGGGCTTCCGATGACCGCAATGCTGAACGGGCAGTGTGCGCTTGTGCCCACCGGCCCGTTCGGCATTTGTCTTACGAGCATGCCACAAACCCGCCGACAATCGTGCGATTCTCGGCGGGTTTTCGAACATGCTCTTAAGACAAAAGTCGTGCGACCGTACAGTAGCAGAGGTCGCACACCTTCCATACACCTTGCGATTCTCGTACGATCGCGGGATTTCCCGCGATTATCGTACGATTATCGCACGGTGTATGGGCACCTTTAAACAACTTTGCTGACCTTGGCTTAATGAACAGCTGTCCTGTAATGATGATATGAGGGACCTTAGGTTAATGAGCAATAGGTTCAATGCCAATACAGCCGTCCCCTAACCTTGATATTATTGAGTCTAATTAAGAGAAGACCCTTTTAATAATCTGGGTACAATTTAAATACAGGTACAGAGCACATGTGGAATTATTATCTGATTTTTTAAAAATAATTGAAGGTAGCACATCTAATTATTTTATTAAAAACCCTATAAAATGGGCATGTGAGCCCATATTATTTGAACGCGCCTGAATTGCTGTGTGTTCTCGGATGGACGAATAAACCAACCTCTTGAAGCTCTGCCTGGTGTCGATCCACCGTTTATTCTACTTCACAACCTAGTTAGCTATATATCTAGGCAATGGCGTGCTGTGACAGGTGCTAGGAATGTCTCATTTAAAGGGCAGTGAACCCAGAATACAATTTACAGTCCATAGAAAAATGCTATTTATATTATTCCTAAAAATGGAAAGAAGCTGAAATATTTGACATGTTTAAGGTTGCTGTGCAAACAGTTCTTTTGTATTAGTTACTATAGAAAGAACTCTGATGAGCACATACTTAAAGGAGAACTATGGGGTTAAGTCTTTTCCCCATAGTTCTCCTTAGGGTAACGGGAGGACACAAACTAGCATCCTCCCATCACCCTAGGCTCAGTATATAGGGAGCTACAGCTCGTGCTATACTGAGACGCCGCAGCTGTACCTCCCGATCTACTGAGCCGACCTGTGACAGTCTCATTGTCACAGGTCGGCTAGAACTATGAGGTGAGTGAAAAGCACTCCCCTCATAGTTCTCCTTTAATCTGACAACACAAAGCAACAGATAAAATAATAAGCTCCTACATATGTGTCTCATCCGTGTATTGAGCTGTTTGCCCACCAGGCCAAAATGACAGATGAGTGCAAATTGTTTCTCACTGATATAAAGTAACGGGCGCTGGAAGTCTGTCAACCTTTCTTTCTCCCAGTTCTGAAGGATGGCTATGAGAAGATGGAGAGACATCTGCCCATACTGGAGGATGTGGAAGGAGCAGCCAAAGCCCTCATGAGGCTCCAGGACGTCTACTCCCTGAATGTGAAGGACTTGGCCAAAGGAGTCTTCCAGAGCGGACCGGACTCTCATTACAATTTCCAGTACAGGCCGGACCGGGTGTGCACCATGTCAGCCGATGACTGCTTCCATATAGGCAAGGTAACCACACAATCATAGATACTCTATATAGGTATGATTTGTGATTTGTGAGGGTATCAGGCACAGCGCTACTGCATTTCCAGGAAACGGGGTGAAAGTGGCCATTTGTTGCAGATTGCTTACAAAATGTCCATATTTTAATAATACAAAACTACAATTATGACATATACTATGTCATTTCAGAACAATACAAAAGGGTCAAAACGGCAATATTTATAAATAAAGCTATAATAAAATATAAGATGAATGACAGAGATCTTTTCTTACTGTTACCTGCAGCTTTGGATTGCAACAGATTGCAGTAGACTGGGGGTCAGTTTGAGGCCTCTGCTTGCCTCGGGTGGGGATGCCGCTTCTTTTTCTCGGTGATCAGTCCATTGGGTTGGCAGTGTTGGGAAGTGATAAAAGGGTCATGTGATTGCTAAGTCACTTTTCCTTTCTTTTTCATTATTTGTGGTCACATGACCACTGCTTTGATACTAAAGCTGTCTGGTGGAGTGACAGCCGGATAGCCCAACAGTAACATTGTTGCATGCACAGCTTCCCTGAGAGACGTGCCTTCCCGCTGGCCACGAGTAAGGCAGCTCTGCCGGCAGAAATTGACTTTTTCCCCTTCCTGGATTTACTCCATCACTGCCCAGCGTTGATCCTGAAAGTGGACAGGAGCAGAGCGGGGGGATCTCACTATTGGAGTATTGAAGACATATAAGAGGGCAGAGGCTAACTAAACCCACCAGGCTCCACCTATAACCCAATTCTTGCTTTAGTAAACTCTTTAATTTTCATTGGAAAGTGGACTCAGGTCACAGGAAGCGCAGCGCTCGCTCATTCCTGCACTTTGTATCTTTTTTATGATTGGTAAAGATGGAAAAGAGAATGCCGGAACTCTGACATATTTTATGGATTTTTGCTGTGTTTTTTTTTAATGACAGTTGCTACTATAGTGCCGGGGTAACCAAACTTTGACCCTCCAGCTGTTGTGGAACTACAAGTCCCATAAGGCATTGCAAGACTGACAGCCACAGGCATGACTCCCAGAGGCAAAGACATCATGGGATTTATAGTTCCCCATGACTGGACGTCTTAAAGGAGAACTATGAGGTGAGTGCTTTTCCCTCACCTCATAGTTCTAGCCGACCTGTGACAATGAGACTGTCACAGGTCGGCTCAGTAGAACGGGAGGTGAGCGAACACATACTGGCGTTCGCTCACCTCTCGATCCTGCCACGGCTCTCTGGATTCCCCCCCTCCCCGCTCCGATCTGCCAGCGCTGACTGGCGGAACGGACGGAGAGGGGGCAAGTACAGCTGGCTCTGCCTCTAGATAGGCAGAGACAGCTGTCAGTCACGCAGCTGCGCGGATCCCGGCACAATTGTCGGGATCCGCTTCAGCGGCGGCGTCTCAGTATACCGCGAGCTGTGGCTCCCTATATACTGAGCCTAGGGTGACGGGAGGACGCTAGTTTGTGTCCTCCCGTTACCCTAAGGAGAACTATGGGGAAAAGCCCTAACCCCATAGTTCTTCTTTAAGTTTGGCTACCCCTGCTATACTGATTTGTGGGAGTTCAGCCAGCACCCCTACAGAATCACTACAGAATCAAGGGCCACCATTAGAAATCACGGATCCCTGTATATCCTGCTGGGCAAGCCTACTGTGAGGGCAGCAATCAGGACAGCATGCAGAGAAAGCCAACTCCTCCTCTCCATTGATGTTTCCTCAAAGTCACTGTAAAGCCCCACAAATACCTGTTGATCCTTCCAGTGACGTTCACCTAATGCAGCTTCCTGTGATAGGGTGGCAACAATTCTGCACTGCTCCTGAATTCAGAGCAGAGTTGTCACACCCATGTAGGCTATGTCTTCCTGCACTAGAGTGGGAGGAGAAGATGTGGCAGAGGGCATGACTACCGGGATTGTCACTGCTGATTCAGACGCCTGAAGCTTGTCAATCGGCACCTGGCCACACCTAGTCCCGCCCATTGCTTCCTGGATTGACAGCACTGCCTCTGCTGCTGAAGCCCTCCCACTGTGCGCTGCAGTGTCTGGGAGGGGGAGTGCGTGAGATACAAATGGAGGATTTGGCTCAGTCATGGAAGGTGAAGGAACTTTCTTGTTTACTTTATGAGGCTTATGCACCACATTGTAACTGGGCATGTTTAGGCTGATATACAGGAGCCCCTTTAAAAGAGGAGGGGGTCATCTGGGAAGGGGGGGTGTATGTAACCTGGAGTACAGGTTTGAGCCATGTTGTCCAGCCATGCTGATAGACTTCCATTGTGACAGACGAACTGAATACCACCTTCCTTGTACTGCATTACTACTAAGTAGGAAGCACAACATGCAGAGGTAATAAGCAATATTATAAAAGAAAAAACTAAAAAACACATAAAAAAAAAAAATCCAGACATTGATAAGAATATTTACAATAAAGCTGTATTGCATCACTCATTAGTCTTCTGCTTCTCCTTTCACTGTCCAATCACAGGCTGGGGGAAGGGCAAGACCTGTGAGTGTTAGCACTCTTGCACATGGGCATGCATGCCCATGCAAAGTGAATTCCAACGTATATCCCACCCCCGGGGAGCCAGGTTTTCTGTGTCCAGGGATGTATGTGCATGCGCATATGTGGTGTATACCCGCGTACAGCCAATTACTTCTATGGGAGGCTGTACGCAGCACCTGTGGCTCTCTGGCAAAAGGGAATACATGCCAGAATTTACATTGTATGGGTTCAGCTGCCCATGTGCATGCAGTGGCGTCACAAGGGGGGTGCGGCCCGCACCCGGATGCCACCATTGGAGGGGTGACACCAAAATGACTAATAGTCATTTTGGTGTCACCCCCCTATGAAAAGTCGGGCACTCGGTCACAGAGCGAGAGCCCGACAGTGTCAGGAGGGAGGAGGGGTCCCAGCGGCATACCTCATCCCGCCGGGTGAACGCCCCCTCCTCTCTCGGCCAACGTCCATCACCAAGATGGCCACCGGCAGGCGCCAATGAGACGACTGCGCACACGTGATGACGTCACGGCGGGGGTGTCACCCGGTCTCCGCCCCCGGGTGATACCCACCCTCGGGACACCCCTGCCCGGGTGACACCATTGTAGGGGTAACACCAAAATGACAGTCATTTTGGTGTCACCCCCTCTAAAAAGTCAGGCACTTGGTCATGGACCTAGAGCCCGACAGTGTCAGGAGAGAGGAGGGGACCCAGCGGCATACCTCATCCCGCCGTGTGAACGTCCCCTCCTGTCTCTGCCGGTGTCCATCACCAAGATGGCCACGGGCAGGCGTCAATTAGATGACGATGACGTCACTGCAGGGTGTCACCCGGTCTCCGCTCTGGGTGACACTCGGCCTCGGGACGCCCCTGCGTGCATGAACCCTTAGTGAAGAGCAGAGGGAGCAAACCTCGGGCCCTCCAGTTGTAGTGAAACTACAAATCCCATGATGCATCTCTCTTCGGTAGTCATGTCTGTGGCTGTGAGAATGTTGAACAATCAGGTCTCCCGCCCTGCCAGACAGAGCTGTGCTGTGTGGCAGGGCTATGCAAATCTCAGGAGTGGATGGACAGAAATACACACCCTTTGTGAGGTTAAACATACTTATATGTATCACTTGCGTTCAGCTGTTGTCTGGAGTTCTGGAGAGGAAAATAAATCCTTCCCCTACTTTCCGAACTCCGGGGGGAGCTGGGAATCATTTGAACATATGCTCGGTAGCGAAGTCTGCAACCAATTCAATGTAATTCTTATTAAACTCGGAGCATATGTCCATATGACTTTTCCTCATGGGGGAACGGCAAACAAAAACACCAAATAGTTTCCAACATTAGACATTTACAGCCGATCTTTATTGTGCGGAAAATTTTATTGGCGCGCTCAGGATTGCGGGTTGAACTCCGGCTGAGATAAAGAGCAGAGCGAGGAAATTGTATCTTCCAGCAAGGAGACTGCAATATTAATAATATTTCCCACTGACAGAGTTATAGAACAGCTGGATATTGTTTCCTGAGATGTCAATCAATTCTCCATCCCATTGCCCTCAATCACACTGCAACGGATCACAATCTCAGCCACAGTACATTGCTTGATGGTTCCCGTGTATAATCTTAAATCTATCATTCGGTATGTTTGGTATCATCTATCTCTGTATACAATTTTCTTAACCCCTTCATGACTGAGGCATTTTTTAATTTTTTTTTGCACCCAATGTTATATCCCACATTTTAGGCCTGAAAATTATTTAAAACCCCCAAACTTTATATATTTTCTGAAAGCCAAGACCCTGTAGAATAAAATGGCGGAATTTGCAAATTTATATGTTGCACGATATTAGCGCAAATCCTTATCAAACCCCACAATTTAGTGAAAAATGCACTTAAATGCCCCAAAACACACTAAAATACCCATTTGTTTAATAAAATATAAAAGATGAGGTTACAACGAGTAAACAGATACCCAACATGCCCAGGTTACAAATTGTGCGCGTCCGTGAAACGGTGACAAACCTCAGTACCCAAAAAAGTCCATAGACGACACTTTAAAAGCCCCCACAGGTCATCGATTTAGAGGTGCACCCGACGCGTGTTTACGTGAAGATGCTCTATTTTTAGATTTATTGTATGTAATGTTAATTTAAAAAACTGTTTTGTTTTGTTTTTTTACTTTAATTGCTATCACATAGGGGGGCTTACAAGCCCCCCATGTGATAGCAGATGGTGGTGACAGGTCCTCTTTAAGGTGATACTGGGGGTCCAAAAGAACCCCCAGTGTCACCTCTACACTCCAAATAAGCTATTGAAGTGCAACTCGCAGGCTTCAGGAGTCCAGCACTGACAGCTATCAGACCAGAAGTAATGTAATCTGCATCGCTCCCGGTCCCATAGAACGGGGAGGGGATCGACGAACGAAGCTTCCTCCATGTCCTCCCCGCCGACACCAGAGAAGCTGGTCCCGGGCCCATAGGAGGGGCAACGGAGCACAGAAAGCACGGTGGGGGTGTCGGATGCGGGGGGGCCCTTCACCAGGCCGTAGAAGCGATTTGGCGACCGCTGAGTCGGCTTTACAAGTTTAAACAGAGTCCCTTTTCCTGTCTGTTTAAACAGCCCCGATGCCAGCGACGTAGAAGAAGGGGTTAATGAAATCAGGTTTTTTTAAAATCTCTCGTAAAGTTTCCTATCTGGAGATCCTGCCGGTAACAGCTCTTCCTGTTGTAGGCAGGGCCGGCCTTAGGGGTGTGCGAGCAGTGCGACCGCACAGGGCGCCATGGCAACTAGGGCGCCGTGCGGCTGACACAGCTCGTCCTGGGGGCGGCTTCTCTCCCCCTCACCGCTGGGCTGAGCGGGGGATGGGTGAATATCAGTGATATTTACCGGTCCTCCGTGTGAGAAGGACAAACACCGGAGCCATCGTCTGATCACTCCAGTGTTTGTAAATAACTGGGGACACATAGCGCTATGTGTCCCCAGTTATGAATGAGCAGGCTGTGATTTACATCGCAGCCTGTTCATTCAAGATTTCACCAATGGGGAGAAGCACTCAGTACAGAGGCTCCTCCCCCTTCAGAAACTATTGATAGTAAGTATGAATGGGAGTGTCTGGATATTGTTTCCTGAGATGTCAATCAATTCTCCATCCCATTGCCCTCAATCACACTGCAACGGATCACAATCTCAGCCACAGTACATTGCTTGATGGTTCCCGTGTATAATCTTAAATCTATCATTCGGTATGTTTGGTATCATCTATCTCTGTATACAATTTTCTTAACCCCTTCATGACTGAGGCATTTTTTAATTTTTTTTTGCACCCAATGTTATATCCCACATTTTAGGCCTGAAAATTATTTAAAACCCCCAAACTTTATATATTTTCTGAAAGCCAAGACCCTGTAGAATAAAATGGCGGAATTTGCAAATTTATATGTTGCACGATATTAGCGCAAATCCTTATCAAACCCCACAATTTAGTGAAAAATGCACTTAAATGCCCCAAAACACACTAAAATACCCATTTGTTTAATAAAATATAAAAGATGAGGTTACAACGAGTAAACAGATACCCAACATGCCCAGGTTACAAATTGTGCGCGTCCGTGAAACGGTGACAAACCTCAGTACCCAAAAAAGTCCATAGACGACACTTTAAAAGCCCCCACAGGTCATCGATTTAGAGGTGCACCCGACGCGTGTTTACGTGAAGATGCTCTATTTTTAGATTTATTGTATGTAATGTTAATTTAAAAAACTGTTTTGTTTTGTTTTTTTACTTTAATTGCTATCACATAGGGGGGCTTACAAGCCCCCCATGTGATAGCAGATGGTGGTGACAGGTCCTCTTTAAGGTGATACTGGGGGTCCAAAAGAACCCCCAGTGTCACCTCTACACTCCAAATAAGCTATTGAAGTGCAACTCGCAGGCTTCAGGAGTCCAGCACTGACAGCTATCAGACCAGAAGTAATGTAATCTGCATCGCTCCCGGTCCCATAGAACGGGGAGGGGATCGACGAACGAAGCTTCCTCCATGTCCTCCCCGCCGACACCAGAGAAGCTGGTCCCGGGCCCATAGGAGGGGCAACGGAGCACAGAAAGCACGGTGGGGGTGTCGGATGCGGGGGGGCCCTTCACCAGGCCGTAGAAGCGATTTGGCGACCGCTGAGTCGGCTTTACAAGTTTAAACAGAGTCCCTTTTCCTGTCTGTTTAAACAGCCCCGATGCCAGCGACGTAGAAGAAGGGGTTAATGAAATCAGGTTTTTTTAAAATCTCTCGTAAAGTTTCCTATCTGGAGATCCTGCCGGTAACAGCTCTTCCTGTTGTAGTATTTTACCAAAAATATGGGTAATACATGGGTGTGGTTACTGGGGGTGTGGCCACTGAGGGGCGCTGTAAAGCTTTCTCGCACAGGGCGCCTAAAGGCCTAAGGCCGGCCCTGGTTGTAGGCAGGGCTGGATTTCCCACATGGTCCCGAGGCCTGGTCTTGGGTCGGCAGGGAGTAGAGGGGCAGCTCATCCGCCGGGCGGATACTTTTTTTTTTTCTACATTTAGCCCTGCTTAGAGTGGGGAAGCCGTTTTGTACAAGTGATCCCAGCGATGCTGCCGAGAGCACTTGTAATATGCCTGCAGGTCCCCCCCACCCCGGCTGCCTCTCTCCCTGCTGGCCACCTCCCTCCCCTCCATGGTTTTCAGGGTCCCCCGCTCTTCTGGACCACGGCACATTTGTTCAGGATGGAGAGTGGGGAGCAGAGCGGACAACGTCCGTTCTTTGCTCTGCTCCATGTGAACACTGAGACGGGAGTGCTGCGCTCACAGCCTTCCCCTTTCAGCTGTCACAGGAGAGCCAGCACAGTGATGTGCTCAAACTCCTGTATTGGAGGTGACAGGTTCAATAGATAGAACCTGTCACCACCAAATGCTATCACACAGGGGTTTGTTAGCTCCTGTGTGGTAGCAATAAAGTTAAGTGGAATTTTTTTTTTTTTTAAATAATAAAATAAAAATGGAAAATAAAATTGATAAAAAATAATAAAATAAATACAATTTTTAAAAAAATAATAAGAAATAATAAATTAAAATACAATTTTTAAAAAAGTGATAAAAAAGTAAAAGAAATTATTAAAATAAAAAATTATAAAAAAAAGGAAAAGATAATTAAACATTTTAAAAAAGTAAAAGAAAAAAATTGAAATTGAAAAAATAATAAAGAAAAACATTTAAAAAATCAAAACCAACCCTGTCGCCCCCACCATCTGGTTGCCATTTTCCATTAGGGGGGAGTTTGGGAAGGAGGGTGATGCATTGAGGAACCTGGGCTTGGGGCAGCAGAGAGAGTAAATCCGGCCCTGGTTGTAGGCTGACAGAATGCCATGCAAGCTCCTTCAGTTGCCCATTGGGCTGCCTATCAGGATTGTCAGAAGGTCAATTGGACCAAAGGCCAACTATCTCCTTGTCATAAAGTAAATGGCATTGATCTGGTAGGTGAAAGGTAGATCCCATAATCCTCTGGGCTTTCTCTTCCCTAGGTGGCCTATGAGATGGAGGATTACTACCATTCCATTCCATGGCTGGAGGAGGCAGTCAGCATGTTCCGGGGTTCCTATGGCAAATGGTTGACTGAAGACATGGGGTCCCTCGAAGATGCTCTGGATTATTTGGCATTTTCCTATTACAAAGTAAGTGAAAGCCGGACCCCAGGTAGATGTAGAACATAACAGCTCTGTAATCATGAATGCAAAATGAAATGTATATTTTTTTAATGCAAGCAAGGTAAGTAAATGAATTTGACTTGGTATCAGCCTTTAATAGTCTCAGACTGGAAAAGGGAGAAGCAATCAGTTGCACTGGAGTGCTCATGTGCCAACAAGGGTCATGCTGATAGTAGAAGAGAGCAGAATGATAGAAAGATGAGCTCTTCAGTCAGCTTTTTCTCCTTAACTGTCCAGTCACAGGTTGGGGGGGTCACAGGACCTGTAAGGGTTATTTAACTGTCCTACCAGGCTGGGCTGTGCTCTGTGGCAGTGCTGTGTATATATCCGGACTGGATTGTTCCGTTCTGTCATTGCCAAATCAAGCAAAGCTTTCAAAAGATCTCTGTGAGGAGTAATGCTTACTGGGGTACGTTATCAGTTAGGAATGGGCACACAAACATCAATCCAATCAGAATTATGGATTCAAAATTCTGACCAATTTTGGCAATTATCAATGCTTGGTCACCACCTCCCAACCACTTTCACCTGATTTTAGGTCAAAGATGAAAGTGAAATACATATCAGAGTGACAGCAAATCCGGGGATTGCCAAAAGGAGACGATGTGGTTCATGGAGGACCGAATTCACACAGGAGTAGTTCAAAGGGTGCTGTCAGAACACACAGTGGGTCCACCAATATAAGGTCGGTGGTCCAGGGGTCTCCTGTGTGTCATCATTGTGCTGTTAACTCCCAATTGAAGTGTCTTTGAAGGTCGTCATCGATCTAGAGCAGGGGTGCCCACAATTTTTTGTGTTAAGATCTACTTTTCAAATAACAAGCTACATGAGATCTACCAACGAAAAAAAACCTCTCTGGCTGTCTCTCCTCGCTCTCTCTCCTGGCTGTCTGTCCTCGCTGTCTCTCCTGGCTGTCTCTCCTCGCTCTCTCTCCTGGCTGTCTCTCCTCACTGTCTCTCCCCGCTCTCTCTCTTGGCTGTCTCTCCTCACTCTCTCCTGGCTGTCTCTCCTTGCTCATCCTCCTGGCTGTCATTCCTCGTTTCTCTCCTGGTTGTCATTCCTAGTTTTCTCTCCTGGCTGTCTCTCTTCGTTCTCTTGGCTGTCTCTCCTTGCTCTCTCCCCGCTCTCTCTCCTGGCTCTCCTTGCTATATATATGCAAACAGTGTAGTGCAACAGGCTGTGTAAATTAATATTCTTTGATGTAATACATGGCACTACAACCCCCAGTATCCACCAGAAAGGTGTCAGGGAGCTTGGCTCAGCAGACTCGGGCTAATAGATAATCGTGTGTGCACAGTTAAATAGATATACCAAAATGGAACAAAGGGGCCGCCATTCCCCCCTTCCTGATCTACCAGCATCAGCTTTGAGAGCAACTGCTAGATCACCATCTACCTAATGGGCACCCCTGATCTAGGTCATTATGCTGAAGTGTCTGTGAAGGTCCTCATCTATCCAGGTCATTGTGCTGAAGTGTCTGTGATGGTCCTCATCTATCTAGGTCATTGTACTGAAGTATCTGTGAAGGTCCTCATCTATCCAGGTCATTGTGCTGAAGTGTCTGTGATGGTCCTCATCTATCTAGGTCATTGTACTGAAGTATCTGTGAAGGTCCTCATCTATCCAGGTCATTGTGCTGAAGTGTCTGTGATGGTCCTCATCTATCTAGGTCATTGTACTGAAGTATCTGTGAAGGTCCTCATCTATCCAGGTCATTGTGCTGAAGTGTCTGTGATGGTCCTCATCTATCTAGGTCATTGTACTGAAGTATCTGTGAAGGTCCTCATCTATCCAGGTCATTGTGCTGAAGTGTCTGTGATGGTCCTCATCTATCTAGGTCATTGTACTGAAGTATCTGTGAAGGTCCTCATCTATCCAGGTCATTGTGCTGAAGTGTCTGTGATGGTCCTCATCTATCTAGGTCATTGTACTGAAGTATCTGTGAAGGTCCTCATCTATCCAGGTCATTGTGCTGAAGTGTCTGTGATGGTCCTCATCTATCTAGGTCATTGTACTGAAGTATCTGTGAAGGTCCTCATCTATCCAGGTCATTGTGCTGAAGTGTCTGTGATGGTCCTCATCTATCTAGGTCATTGTACTGAAGTATCTGTGAAGGTCCTCATCTATCCAGGTCATTGTGCTGAAGTGTCTGTGATGGTCCTCATCTATCTAGGTCATTGTACTGAAGTATCTGTGAAGGTCCTCATCTATCCAGGTCATTGTGCTGAAGTGTCTGTGATGGTCCTCATCTATCTAGGTCATTGTACTGAAGTATCTGTGAAGGTCCTCATCTATCCAGGTCATTGTGCTGAAGTGTCTGTGATGGTCCTCATCTATCTAGGTCATTGTACTGAAGTATCTGTGAAGGTCCTCATCTATCCAGGTCATTGTGCTGAAGTGTCTGTGATGGTCCTCATCTATCTAGGTCATTGTACTGAAGTATCTGTGAAGGTCCTCATCTATCCAGGTCATTGTGCTGAAGTGTCTGTGATGGTCCTCATCTATCTAGGTCATTGTACTGAAGTATCTGTGAAGGTCCTCATCTATCCAGGTCATTGTGCTGAAGTGTCTGTGATGGTCCTCATCTATCTAGGTCATTGTACTGAAGTATCTGTGAAGGTCCTCATCTATCCAGGTCATTGTGCTGAAGTGTCTGTGATGGTCCTCATCTATCTAGGTCATTGTACTGAAGTATCTGTGAAGGTCCTCATCTATCCAGGTCATTGTGCTGAAGTGTCTGTGATGGTCCTCATCTATCTAGGTCATTGTACTGAAGTATCTGTGAAGGTCCTCATCTATCCAGGTCATTGTGCTGAAGTGTCTGTGATGGTCCTCATCTATCTAGGTCATTGTACTGAAGTATCTGTGAAGGTCCTCATCTATCCAGGTCATTGTGCTGAAGTGTCTGTGATGGTCCTCATCTATCTAGGTCATTGTACTGAAGTATCTGTGAAGGTCCTCATCTATCCAGGTCATTGTGCTGAAGGTTCTGTGAAGGTCCTCATCTATCCAGATCATGGTATGGCTAGTAGTTGTTGGTCACATTCAACTGAACTTGTTCTGTAATGTTAGACAAATAAAAGTCCAACGAATCCACCATTGTGAAAGGTTCCTTTAAAAAGATGGTGGCAGATTTGGAGTTAAGATGTCATCTAATTAGGCACAATGGCGTGAAGGTAAACTCCTGAACTCAATAGAGACGTTGTATATGATCTGTGATATGTAAAGAATTTTCAATTCATCCTCAGCGGCCCGGAGTCTGGCAGCCACATGTTATATGTTAGACACAAGTCAGGAGAAGAATTTCTGCAGCTAAAAATGTTTTTTTCTGATGAATCATCTATATCTGATATTTTCTGAAAGGAGGCGCTAGTGTTCCCTGGGCTGTAGACGTACCGGTACTCTACAGGAGCGTTTCTCAATCTTTTTTCACTTGCGGCACCCTTAAAAATTATGGAAAATCTTGAGGCACCCCAGTCTAAAATATAAGTAGGGACCCCATGCAAAAATACACAAAAACGTGGGGTTGCTCCCTTTGCATCCTCCCTTCAAATCAGGAGCACCCATTCACATCAGGGCCCCCATTCACATCAGGATCCCCCTTTATATTGGAACTCCCTTTTTACACACCCTTCATATCAGAGTCCTACCATCAGAAAATGAACCCCTGAGGAAGCCAGAAGTCACCTCGGTGTGCAACGGCACCTTTGTTGAGAAAGGCAGCTCTACAGAACACTGTTGGGTTCCTGATGATGGTAGACAGTATCTGTAGGGCCAGTGTTGGGCAAAATTCTTTACAAACACATACCTCGGGCATGGTATGTTGGCATGGATGGCCTGTTATCAGTGTGCCACCATTCTTCTCTTCGGGTGGCTCCAACAACATCTATACAAGTGTCTGCTCTTAAGGAGGACTTGTTGGCATGGGTGGCCGGATACCAGAGTGCCCTTATCCTGCTTTTCTTACTCAGCAGGGACTAGCACCCCTGATTTGGAAGCAAACAAAAATGACTAAGTGGCAAAAGAGCCCGGATAACATTGAACCTGTGACCACTGTTCTTCTTTTCTGGTGGCTCCAACAACATCTGTACAAGTGTCTGCTCTTTACATTGGCTGGATTAGTGTCCCACCACAGGTTTATTCCTCATCCATCACCATGGAGGGGCGATATGAACGTTGAATACAGACACTCCTCCTTAGTCATTGCTATACACCCCAAAAGTCTGCATTCCATGAATCCCTCATATCTCTTTACATTATTTCCAGTAGAGCGTGACCATAGCTGGCATATGTAGAACCGTTGGATGTTACGGATCTGATTACCGCTTCTCTAGCCGATAGCTGGAGTGAGCATTGGCCAGTCAGCAGGCGGTAAGCGGCCCTTAGCCAAAGAATGTGGAATTACTATTCTCGTATCCTCATATCTGGCTTTGCAATGTGGGAAGCACAGAGCAATGGAAAATAAGCACAGGGTTCTGGATCCAATTTCTATTTCAATTCAGCTGAAACAACCTTCGTTTTCTCTACCAGTCCCTACATTATTATGCAGGATTTTTTAAATAAGGGAAATTCAGTTTTCTGCTGAGGAAGAACAAAGAAGAACATCCTCTTCACGTGAACTGTACTTTACTGAACGTTACTACATTATTTAGGACTCTTACCTACTCTTATCCAGAAACATACGTCTGCATCTATAGACTCAGGCACATTGTCCACCTGACAGGGCATGGATGAGAACTCCCTTAGGGAGTGGATCTTGGCACACCTTCTTATTGGTTCAGCATTTTGTGTTACCCTCAAGCTGTCCATCGTAGAGTTCAATAGCTCAGGGGGGTAACTCTTCATTGTGTTATGGATTGACCCCAGTTCCACCCTTGTTTGTCTTGGCCGTTTTGGAACTCTGCGTGCCTTGACCCCTGCTGTGTTTCCTGATGACGGATTTGCTCCCTTGCTCTGGTTTTGATACTCGGCTCTCATAACTGATTGAAGTTTACACATTGGGGCCCCCAAGGCAATTCTGCAATGTGGCCAAGAGTGTAGGTCCAGCATGCAGGCCAAGCGTGTAGGCGGCCATGCGTGTAGGCCAAGAGTGCATGTGGCCAAGCGTGTAGGTGTAGCTGTAGGGGCTTACTTGCCGTAACATTTAAAATGAGCGCAAAGTCATATAAATAATACAAATAAAAATGATCATTTTCAAAGGACAGGAATATTATTTTTACTTATACGCAGTAGCCTGGAGATCCATTTTATGTCTCACAGTATTTGCTGACATTGACAAATCAGTGGAAATTAAAATATTGCACGGTCCACACTTTATATTTGTGGCTCTCGGTTCATTCATTTGACCTCTCTGGAAAAGCAGGAAACATCAAGACACCATAAAATCAGCATATGGGGAAGGTCCCAAGAGGCCATTTCAATCACTCGCACCTCTCTTATTAAAAACATGAAGTTCTCCGCTGTTTGACAGTTTATTGCCTGGCTCAGGAGTAAGTTTAATGGGGGCCAGTAAGTTAGAAGACTGCAACTGCAAGGGGTGCTAGGAGAGGGAGGGGGAGCTAGGCTTGAGGTCTTTCTGCTAGAATACTTAGATGGGGGCTCCGGCTTGTACGAGGATATTCTCTGTCTAATGTTCCAAACATGTAAAGGAGTTGTAGTGGATTTCCGAGGACTCTGCTTTCTATGTGCAGGATATGAATGGAGATTATGGTGACTGTCTATATATTTTATCTCTATATTATATATTTTTTTTTTTACCATATACATTTTTATTGGTTTCATCACAGAAGACAATCGACATTACATAACATCACAGTATTCGGTGCGTAGACCGTAGCATCGACAAGAAAACATGTGGTAACAGGTGCTAAATATGGGTTATAGTTCTGAATCTATCGCTTTGATGGGTTAGCTAATGTGGGTACACAGCGGTTCATGAGAAAAATGAGAACATACATATTCCATATATGCACTGCATTTGATCGTATGGCATATTAAAGAAGAACTATGAGGTGAGTGCTTTTCACTCACCTCATAGTTCTAGCCGACCTGTGACAATGAGACTGTCACAGGTCGGCTTAGTAGATCGGGAGGTGAGCGAACACATACCGGCGTTCGCTCACCGCTCGATCCGGTCACAGCTCTCTGCCGTGACAGGGGAGGAGCTGGATTCCCCTCTCCCCGCTCCGATCGGCCAGCGCTGACTGGCGGAACGGACGGGGGAGGGGGCGGGTACAGCTGGCTCTGCCTCTAGATAGGCAGAGCCAGCTGTCAATCACGCAGCTGGGCGGATCCCGTCATCTAAGTCGTGATCCGCTCCGGCTGCGGTGTCTCAGTATATAGTGAGCTGTAGCTCGCGGTATACTGAGCTTAGGGTGACGGGAGGACGCTAGTTTGTGTCCTCCCGTTACCGTTAGGAGAACTATGGGGAAAAGCAGTGACCGCATAGTTCTCCTTTAACCAGTTGAGATCTCAAATAGATGGAAGAGTCAGCCAGTGTGTCCTCTCTGAGGAATGTAGAGTAGGAGATGCTCGGGACTCGCTTCAATATATCCGTAGGAGTACCAAAATCTATAAAATGTCAGAGGATGATGGTAGCTTGGCTTCGTCTAGCTTTGTCTGTAGCCAGCCGGTTACAATCTCAGGTAACGGTACCACAGAACACAGACAAGACAACATAAGGTGGAGGGGACACACATCTAGAAGAGAGGATCAGAGGGTGATAGGAGGGTTAGGTGCAAGAGAGGAGGGGGAGGGGAGGAAGAAAAGATCTCTTTATTATATTTTTTAAATATTATTTTTAAAGCAGCACTGCAGTCAAAAATAACAAGATTGAATAGCCCATTAAAAGCTAAAATAACAAAACCAGCTTTTGCTGCAATATTCACCTTTTACCCAGAGATTACCTACACAGTCCTTTTTTTCTGCCACAAGATGTTCTCAGTCTGGTGGCCAGCACCATTCAACCCACCTCCTCTGAGCCCAGGTCATCCCGGACCTGCCCCTCAGCCTGTGCCTAGACAGTGAAAGCAGGAGCAGCACTGTGACGAGGTCATATCTCTGTCACTCTGCTTTTTCCTTCTATCAGCATGCTTCTTGTAAGCACGTGAACTGGTTAGCTATGCTGTATAGGGACTGCAGGGGTTGAAAGGTCTAATTCAGGTGCTTACACTGCTTGTATTTTAAAAAAATTGAATTAAAGATGTATTCATTAATACAGAGCTGTATTCATTTGAGAAATTTTTTTCTGCCAGGATTTGATTTAAAATAATAATAATATAATAATGATTCATATTATTAATATG